TATATGGGAGGAGGTGTTCCTTCAAGTAAGCTGGACCCAAGCCATGAATTCACAATGTTTCCCTATGGGCAAGTATTCTCCTATGTATCTCTATAGGCAAGTATTCTGCAATGATTCTCTATGGGGAAGTATGGTTTTCCTGTGGGTAAGTACTGTCATTTGTTTTAGTACGTCCCTGCAACAAGTGCCTCATTAAAACTACTCTGTAAGTGTAAGAAGGTATGAGTATGTGTGAAGAGCCAGAAAGAAGATAGAAGAAGGTCATATTAGGAAATATTAGGAGGGGTACAAACAGAAAAGAGAGAAGTGGAAGAAAGAATGTGGTGATAAGGGAAAGAAGAGAAGTAAGTGTGAGAAAGGATAGGATAGGAAGTCATTGAAGGTGAAGAATGATGAGATACAGGTGAGGTACAGATGAGAAGGACATCTAGACATAACAACAAGACTAAACAGAGATGGAGAATTGAAATGTAAATATATGAGAATAAGGATGGGGTGAAATCAATATAGATAGTAGATTAGAAGAGACGGTGGGGTATTTATCTGTTTTCTAAGTAGACTTTAGAGTTAGATTTATGAATGATAAGTATTGTTTGTGTGTTTTAGAATGTTAGGTTGTTAGTGTGATTTAGATTGGCTGTGTTTTAAAAGTCATTATTGATTTGAATTATGTATTTTATATATACAGTCACCCGTCTGTTCTCATGGACTTGAGATCTGCGGTTTTGCATATTCACAGAGGGATGTCCTCCGTTAAAATCAATGGGGCATGCCTCATTCAAGTCTGTGGGGCTTGAATATTGGTGAGTCTCTGTTTTCACAGGGGTGGTCCGGAAAGCATCCCCTGCGAAAATGGAGGGCCAACTCTATTGGAATTATAACAAAAGTTACATTTTCTGACCCATCTTTCTGCTGAGTAACAAGAAAGATATGAAAGGGACCGGCTGACTAAGCCCACAGAAGATTATTTCGTAGAGCCAAAGAGTTGCTGCAAAGGCCCCACTCCCAGAATGGCCAGGTAACATCTTCTCAGCAGAAAGATGGGTCAGAATATGTAGGGAAGGTGCTCCTTTGGGGATGAAGGGCTTTAAGAGCTATTGGGCTCTGATAAGGGAGGCCCGTCCCCAAATCTTGGTTCCACATACATCTGCATGGCTGCCCTTGGTATCAGTCGGGGTACCCCGTTCTTGGGAATCTCCACCTGCATGTTGGGTGTTAGAGAAATGGATTCTGACACAGGTGCATCTTTCAGCCTTAAAATACTTCCAGCTTCAACCTAAAATTCATAGATAGAAACTGCTTCTTTGTAGGAAGAAGAATGAAATCTTTGTGTGGACTTATCGTATGTGGTTGCAGCATTTGAGTCTCATACACTGGTGCAAGTTGTGATTTTCCAGCATGTGTGTACACTGCTGGGTGGTCTGGATAAGAATGAACAAGTGTGCTAGTGCATGCTGCTGTGTAGCTCTCTGGTGGGTCCTCTGGTCAGCAAAGCAGCTAAATAAACCAAGAAGTTTCTGTTCTGTCTGTACTGGAATTGATGGTTTCTTCCTGCCTGTAAATCCAGAATGATAACCTAGGGCTTGTTCTTGGCTTATTATTCTGCTTTACGAGGAAAAGAAACCTTGACTTATTACCCTGCCTTCTGAGAAAAGCAATAACTCTAAGATCCTGGTTTAGACATAACTTCAAAGAATGCTGTTTGTCATTATGCCCAAATCAGGCCGTTTCATTATTGTGTGTTAGTTTGCAGTAATTGAGAAAACTGAAGCATTGGTAGGGGGACCATTAGAAAATGCTACAAGGTTGCAGGAGAGAGCACAAATGAGTATCGGCCCTTGGAGTGCAGGAGCTGGTTTATTCCAGGTGAATGTAAGATCTACATATCTACATAAAAGACTAACCCTTTTTGAATTCACAGTTATTGAGACTGATTAAACTCTCTTACACGCAGTACCCCTAGCCTTTTTTTTGTTGTTGTGTGCCTTCAAGTAATTTCTGACTTATGGTGACCCATGAAGTTTTCTTGACAAGATTTGTTCAGAAACCTTTGCCTACCTCTGAGGCTGAAAGTGTGCATTTTGCCCAAGGTCATTCAGTGGGTTTCCATGGCTGAACAAGGATTTGAACCCTGTCCTCTATAATCATACTCCAGTCTTCAAACCACTACACCATTCTGGCTCTCAGCCTTTTTCTTTACTATTTAGCTATTGTTAATTTAAAAGGAAGCATAAAAGGAAGCTTAACAGTTTTAAGGTTAGCTAGGTGGACCAAGTTAGTGGGGATGTAGAGTTCTGACTTGAAACTAGAATAGGACATGAAAACATTGGGGAATGTGTCACATAGCTCCTGAATGTATCAAGCTTAAACAAAGAAACAAAATTGTTCAAAGAAGTTGCAGGGGCTTGCCACATTGCCTTGTTTTTGTATAACACAGTAAAGCAAGTGTGTTCAAGGAAGTGAACAAAGCTGCAAGACCTTAGTTGATTTATAGCCCATCCTTCTCCAAAACTGGTGCTCAAAGTGGAATAAGACTCAAAGCAAAGAACTTGATTTCAAAACTGTTACCCAACATGGTCAAGTTTTAAGTGGTTCTTGAAACCAGAGATTTACAAAAGAGGATTGTTAGCATACCCTGCATTGTATTTTGGGGTCCCCATATTTCATACCTCATATCTGGAGAAAGCCTGTTTTTGAGAGATCATTGACCTTTCAGGTCTCCTGGGTCAGGTTCCCAGGATAAAAGGAGTGTATTCCAAGGATTTGTGCACATCCAGATAATAAGACAAACCTAAATGGGTGTGTTAATTTCTCCTTACTTCCCCCAAGTCATCTACATTTCCTCTTGCACTTGAGACAAAGGATCTCCTTGCACCCAAAGCAGTAAGCCAGGGGTAGGCAACCTTTCCCCTTTAAGGGCCGAGGGACTTCAGCTCCCAGAATCCCAGGAGCTATTGGCCAACATGGGACTACTGGCCAACATGGCTGAGGCTTCTGGGAGCTGAAGTCCCTCGGCTCTTAAAGGGGAAAGGTTGCCTGCCCCTGGGCTAGAGTTTACGTATAAGTATGGGTCTCAGAAATCTAGTCTCTGCAGGCTTACAGTATGAATACAGTTGTCCCATTCTGCCTTCCGTGTATGAAACTATACTGCCTTCAGACCTCCCAGTCTGAGCCACACCAGTTTTCCATCGGACAGATAATTATCATCCCCCCTGCAAACCCCTCAAACTTCACTAACCCGTTTCCATGTTTCCATTTTGGTTAGCTCTGAATGCTGTATCTGCATGAATTGCTAGTGTGTGTGTCTGTGTACGCTCTGCATTTTTCTCAATAAAACCCTCTTAATTCACCCCAAACCTTGAGTTGCCCTCAGTTGGTACTGGTATAAACACATACAAATGGCCCTAAAGGTTACCCAGCCTCTTGCAAAGCTAATATTCCCAGCAGGTAAAGTAATACTGCCATACATTGATGGGGATCCCACAGTCCCCCGCCTTTTTGGGGGGTAACAGGATAGCAAATGAAGCTTTTACTGTAATACCCAAGAAAATATATATTGATCAAAACACAAATACTGAGTATTAATTTTAATGATCTTGTTAGGTGTATGCATGAGTATCTGCCTCTTTCTTTCTGTTTTTTCTTTCCTAACACCACACGGAAGGAAATGGAAGATGATATGAGGTTTTTCTGCCAGTGATTAGTCATTAAATCCCGTGTGAGATGAACCTTGTAACATTCTTAACACTTCCTCACTAAAGATCAAATGGTTTCAAATTAAATTGTGGCATGAATTGTTTAAATAAGACAAGTCAGTGATAACCTTTAAGGGTCAGAAATTTTGAAACTTATGAGCAGCATTCATTACAAGTGACTTACCAGGAAGTACTGCTGTTGAAAAATCTGTGAAGTTAGGCAGTTGAGGCTGTGCTATCTAATGACCTAATTTTACATACTTATTTGTATTTTTACCATATGTACACATCTGGAAGCTATATTATTCAGCAGCTTGTACTACTGCCAGAAATAGGAAATGTAGTTTCTTGAACAGGTTTTCATTCAGTTGATATGAAGAGGCCCTATGTGTCTCCTTTCCATGTCCAGATGTTAAGAAGGAAGTCTGAAGGATCCTGCACAGGCTTACAGCAAGGGAGAGAGCACTGTAGCCCCAATCCCTGGTAATCACTAGAGTGTTCAGTAAAGCATATAACTTGAGAAAAGAGTTGATTGTGTTTACACCTCCATGTGTGCCCTTTGCACAGGGGTGTATCATCTTTCTTATGAGAAAGATGCATATGACAAATCAGGAACATTTGTAGCAGACTATGTCGACTGCTTCTTAGCAGTTTTCTTTCATTCTGTTTTGTTTCTCTGACCCATAATATTAATTTTTCCATTTTATGTGGCCTAAAAATTGCTACCTCTGAAGTGGGATTTCAGTGGCATCTAGCTTTACTGGAAAGGAAAGATATGGGTGAAGTAATGATCTAGTTTCTCATGAGCAGCTAAAGACTGAATTTCTTGGCTGTTTCAGAATGTCATCTGCAGTTTTTAGATGTCACTGCCAATAGTGGTGGAACACAGCAAAAGATAGTAGTCTCACTGTCTTGAGTTCTCTGCCTTGCTTTCTCAAAATAGAGTTGTTACAGTGTGAACGGTAGCATGGAAAGTTGTGTTCACCAGCTGATGTTTCACCTACTCTGTGTTCCACCCACATGCCTACAAAGAAAACTTTGTTCTAATAATGATGTTATTAGAATAATGTTACCCAAACAATTTCTGGTGGACAACAGCACTTGTGGAGATTTACATTTGCAGAATTGAAGTTAGATTGAATCACTTTTCTTTGAAGGAGAGAGGAATCTACCTTTTATTTCTCATGGGATATTTATCTCAGAAATCACTTAGGTTTTTTTGAAGCTTCACACTCCAAAAATAAATAAAGTCAGAAAATTAACTGTAGGCTATGGTTGACATCTGCCTAGACCAGGAGTAGGCAACCTAAGGCCCAGGGGCCGGATGCGCCCCCCTGAGGCCTTTGGACCAGCCCCAGGCTAGTCCTGCTGGTGCCGCCGCCCCCCCCGCCATGATGATATTGATTATTGTTGTTATTACTTGTTCTTGGGGTTTTCTTGGCACAATCTCCACAGGGGTTTTGCCATGGCTTTTCTTGGGCTGAGAGAGTGTGCATGCATATATTATTATTATTATTATTATTATTATTATTATTATTATTATTATTATTATTATTATTTGTGCTTCGTCCCCCCAATTGTCTGAGGGACAGCAACCCAGCCTAGACAGATCTACTCAGAATTAAATCCCACTGAGTCCAATAGCACCTACTCCCAGAAGAATGGCTTACAGTGCTTGTTCCATGAGAAACCTCCCCCATTTCATAGAATCATAGAATCATAGAGTTGGAAGAGACCACAAG